CAGAGGTATATGGGATACCTTATGAGCTGAGGCATAAAATAAAAGAGCAGAGAAACTACACTGGAACTGCATATAAAAAACAAATTTAATCTGCAGTACTGGTTCGCATATACCAGGAGGAATGTTATCACATGAGAGGGTACAAAGGAAATTTATGAGGCTTTTGCCAGAACTGGAGAATTTTAGCTATGAGAAAACATTAGATAGACTGGAGCTGATGTTATTGGAAAATATAAGGCTGAAGAAATATTCAGTTGAGTACAAAATTAGAAGCCGAAATGGAGTGGAGTGCCAGGAGCTGTTTGCCTTGGCAGAGCACAACTACTTTGCCAGGTCTGACATTGCCAGACCTGCTGGGCTTTTCCAACAACTTTGTTTGTGTTCATAATTTTAAGGTGACTGGAGGAAGGTATAGGGGAGAAGTCAGAGGTAGGTTCTTCACACAGAGAGTGGTGGGCGTGTGGAATGCGCTGCCGGCGGTGGTAGTGGAGTCAGATACTTTAGGGACTTTTAAGTGACTCTTGGATAGGCACATGGAGGATAGTAAAATGTAGGGTATGCAGGGTAGTTTGATCTTAGGAGGATAATACATTGGCACAACATCGTGGGCCAAAGGGCCTGTACTGTGCTGTACTGTTCTATGTTCTATGTTCTTAAAAGCCAAAAAGTAGAGATTTCATTGTTTGGCTCCAGTGTTGGAAATGCTACAGAGGCACAAATATGAGGAATGCCCATGAGCGATCTCGCCCAGGGAAGTGAACAGATGACTTTTACAGTGAACATTGAATTGGTATGAGGAAAGAGCAGTGGCATGAGGATCAATGCAAGGCTGTTTCCAGGGCCAGCACAGGCACTGTGACTTCACTTCTGATGCTAGAGATTGCTGTGCAAAAGCAGAAGTGGTATCTTGTTGGTGTTCAGTGTGACTGGTGCTGTGATGGGCTTACGAGCGTTTGATGCAGGCATTAAATTCACAGAGATGTTGAGTGCCCCATTCCATAACACTGACACCCTCCTTTTGGCCTTGGCGTTCCCGCAAATATATACGTGTCCACATGACTGTTACACCCAGGCCGAGTACCTTCATTCAAACTGCAGATTTTTTAATCATGATGTTGTCTGTGCAATGGCGGATTATTGCATATTTATAGGACAGAATCATCGAATCTCTACAGTGTGGCATCAGGCCATTCAGTCCATCAAGTCCACACCGCCCCTCTGAAGATTAGCCCCTCCCCGCAACCTATTCCCTGTAACCCTGCATTTCCCATGGCCAACCCACCTAGCCTACACATCCCTGGATGTTATGTGACAGGGAGCAGGCAGCCCCAGGAGCCTGCAGTGAGAGCAAGAACAGGCAGTCCCGAGGGGGTGAGAGCAGGAACAGGCAGCCCCGAGGGGGTGAGAGAGGGAACAGGTAGCCCCGAGGCGGGGAGAGAGGGAACAGGCAGCCCCGAGGCGGGGAGAGAGGGAACAGGCAGCCCCGAGGCGGGGAGAGTGGGAACAGGCAGCCCCG